CTCCTCTGAGAGGTGCTGATAGGCCGTCCCATCTCCCTTCCCTCCCTGAGAGGTACTGATAGGCTGTCCCGTCTTCCTTACCCCTCTGAGAAATGCTGATAGGCTGTCCCATCTCCCTTACCTCTCTGAGAGGTTCCCACAAGCTGTCCCATCTCCCTTACCCCTCTGAAAGGTGCTGATAGGGTGTCCCATCCTCCTTACTCCTCTGAAAGGTGCTGATAGGCTGTCCCGTCTCCTTAACCCTCTGATAGGCTGTCCTGTCTCCCTTCCCCGTCTGAAAGGTGCTGATAGGGTGTCCCATCCTCCTTACCCCTCTGAGAGGTGCTGATAAGCTGTCCCGTCTCCCTTCCCCCTCTGAAAGGTGCTGATAGGCTGTCCCGTCTCCTTTCCCTCTCTGAGAGGTGCTGATAGGCTGTCCCGTCTCCCTTCCCTCTCTGAAAGGTGCTGATAGGCTGTCGCGTCTCCTTCCCCCTCTGAGAGGTGCCTATAGGCTGTCTGGTCTTCTGGGTTGAGAGTGGATATTGCCCTTTGGGATATTTTCTCTCTCAGCTGGATTCTTTTCAAAGATTAAACACCCATTAAGTTCAGGGTGTTTTCTGGGGGAAATCCTAGAGGTGTCCATAGTTACAGAGTCTGTGATTTAAGAGCACATCTCTCAACCTAAGACATTGGGCAAATTTAAGCATTGAAAATAAGAAGTAAATAGCTTACCAGGATTTTAGTCAGAGGATATACTAACACTCTTATTCCCAGACAATGTCTGAGGCATCTTGGAGCCCACAGCAGACTCAGGGCGTCCTCAGGAGTTTAAAGACTGGGCTGAAAATAGTGACACTTGACATCTGTTAGGGCATGAACTCCTGGGCTGACTGCAGTGTCAGCACATGAAATGGGACCACGTTCCTGTCAGTGACGTCGTATCTTTGTGGAGCTGGACTTTTAGCTTCTCTGTGATAAGGACACCCCACAGCAAATCATTGTGCACGGGGACAGGAGAGTGGCAGGGTGCAGGCTAAATGTAATGGGTGAGAAAAGCCGTGCAGTACCCAGTAGGCATGTCCATTCCACTAAAAAGCAGCCATGGTTATTTAAGAATGAAATAAAATATTTGTCTTTTGTTTTATGAATGTGTATTTTTAAGGCTGACGTGTTAGGAAATAGACTTACTAAGTTTTTGGACCTAACTACTTGAACAGCACTGTTCAGTTTGTCTTTTGAGCATTGTGAGCTGAGGAAATTGGGGGCCCCAAACTCCCAAATGGTTGTTGAAACTTTGTTTTCAAATTTTCTGCATTTAATTCTTTCAGTGCCTTACTATAACTCAATGGAGATTCTGCTGCTGTTCCTTTCAAGCATATAGAATGCACCCTCCCTTGAGATAATTTGGTGTGTAGGTAGATTGAATGCTACTGAGAGAAGAAAGTTTAGCCACTGTGACCAAATAGAACCTTGTGTGTAATTTTGTGGCAGTTCACTAAATTAATAGTATAAAACACATCTTAAGACATATTTGGATGCCTTTTCTGCTAAAGGCAACTCCTTTTTAAAAAATGGATTCTATCTTGAATTTATCCAAGGAAAGAAAAGTCAAAGTAGGCTATAAAAGAAATGAGATCTGCTCAGATACTCTATATTGTTATTAATCATGTATCAAAATGATTTTCCTGAGTAGCTTTGACAGCAGTTAATATTATCTCAAGATTGAGATAAATGTGTGTATTTTCTTTTCTCATTTCATTCCACAACCTTTCAGTTTTTGATACTGGAGATCTAATGGGAAACAAGATGTTATAATGGAAAGCACAGTAGGAACGGAAGAAACCAGTATCTGCAGTGACGGCAGAGGCGGGGGTTAAGCGCGCCTGACACAGAAGGAAGCAGAAATCCTGCCTTCCGATCAAGATCATAAGTGTGTTTGTTTGCTGTTTACTATCAGCAAAAATGAAATCAGCAGCGTGATGACAAAAGGCGGCTGGCATTCTAAGGGGAGCAAACCAAGCCTGATTACAGAATTCTAAAAAATAACAAAGGGCAAAGTTACTGGGGAAAATTAAAATCTGAAAATGAACTTGGATGAACTTGGAACTCTGCTCAGTTGAAATGACTGGAGGATGTTAGTGCCCAAGGGAGTCTTTAAGTAACAGAACCAATGCAGACTCATTAACGAAACAGCTCAGAAGTTAGTAACAGGATTACTGATATTTTGGAAACCAATGAAGGAAATATTCTTACTATAAAAATGAAATAGGAATTGAAAGTCATTTGTGAGAAAATAGTTCAGAGATTATTGCAGTTTCAGTAAAACCTGAAAAGAAACTCTTGTTTTGGTTTGGTTTGGTTTTCTGGTATTTTGTTAGTTTAAATGCAAAGAATCTGCAAAATACTGGTAAGATGAGTTACTGCTTCATCCTTAAGTTGATGTATTAGCTAAAAATTTTCAGTATATTTAAACTAATGATAAGAGTAATTGATAGATTACCAAAATATTGACAGATTGCCAAAATATATACCATCTTTATCTTAAGTATTTTATGTTCCAGTGAAAAATGGAATCATGGTCCTAGTAAAAAGTTAATAATGCACAAGTTGTAATAAAATCTTAGAGAATGCCATCACAGCACCTGCTTTAGTTTACAGAGATTTCTGCCCTTGTAAGTTATTGGTCTAAGAAGTTCCCTCAGGTCTAAACAATTAAATTTTGGTTTTAAATACTGATTCCAAATCTATATTTCAAAACTAGTTTTCTCTTTCTTATAGGCTGAAAAAGAAAATCCAGGTCTGACACAGGACATCATTATGAAAATTTTAGAGAAAAAAAGCGTAGAAATTAACTTCACAGAGTCCCTTCTTCGTATGGCAGCTGATGATGTAGAAGGTATTAGAAAGAACCTTGCTTAGTTTTACAGTTGTTGAAAAGCACTTTTTATAAATCACTATTTATTTGACAAAAAATCTTCTCTCCTTTTCTCCCTTCCCGCGTCATTGAGGTCACCTGATGATAGTGGAAGCAAATCTATGTACAATTGAAAAATAGTTCTTGCTTTTTATTTGTGAGGTTTAATTACTTGAAGGGAGAGAGTTGTTTATGCCATGTGCTTTCATTTTTTCCCTGTTTATAAGATGTTTTGTGGTTTCCATTGTCACTAAAAGGTAAGCTGTATTGGAATGGTTATTTTATTTGGTGTTTTCTTTAAACAAATAGCAGTTTGTAAGTAATGAGTTTTTCGCTCGTTTTTCTAACTTTATAATGGCATCTTTTTTTTTAAGCACAGATACAGGAAGACAATACCATCCCTTTTGCTTTTCTTCATTTTGGCTTTTTAAAAGTAAAAATGGATTTCATTTAAGTTTGGTGGCAATTTTCCCATTAATTTAGTAAAATGTAGATATATAATTTCCTGTGTTTTGGGAGAGAACAAAAAGTAGACATTTCAACTGATTTCCTGATTTATCAGAAAGCCCTCGTTGTTACTTAGAGCCCAGGACTTGAGCCTGTTTAGCGTAACGTATGGGTGAACTGGCAGAGCTGTGGCCCTTCCAGGGCTTCTGTGAGCCTGCTGAGTCTCACTGAACCTCTTTCCAAAGTTGTGATTCTCTGAGCCTGGCCTTTATGTGGCTTTGGGGTGGTGGCTTTGTTTCTAGGTAAGATTTCAAGAATGTGCTAAAGATTTTGTTAGGTTATTTGGGGGGTTGATATAATGGACAGTTGTATTCATATAAGGGTTTTAAATTATTGAACCAGATATATTTTGCCTTTGCTTTAGTTAATAGCATCATTACCTAATGTGAAATGTCTCTTCAGAGGACTGATGAACTTGATTAAGCTTCCCTTACCTTATTTTTAAAATTTAATGGGATTTCCATTTACCCCAGATTGAGAATATTTAGTCTTTCGATCTTTTACTCTGAGAGAAACCTATTGTTACTGCTGGACTGTCGAGTGCTAACAAATTCTGCTCTGCACCCTGGTGTTTCCTAGTTTCTCTGGCTTTTCTTTACCCACCTGCCTTTGACCAACACGGGGAATTCTTAGAGAGGAAGTTGGCAGAGAGTTGCATGATGTGTTTCATTATGTGTTCATCAGAGTATATGATTGAACGGCCAGAGCCAGAATTCCAAGACCTCAATGAAAAGGCGCGAGCCCTAAAACAGATTCTCAGTAAGATCCCAGACGAGATCAGCGACAGAGTGAGGTTTCTGCAGACAATCAAGTAAGTGATGGATCTTTTTGTAAAAGCACTTCAAAGGAACTACTGGTCTAGATGGGGTAATTTTGTATGATGTTTATATTAAGTTAAAATGTTAATTTGAAATACAATTTGATAGTTTTAAATGGTGCATTTTATTATTAACTTCTAACCTCTTGGCATTTGGTTTCAGAATACAATAACTTTTTGAGAATGTTTTATTTAAAAACAGTGAATGAAATGTACAAAACCTGGAGTGGAGTTTGAATTCAATAAATAATGGAAAATGTAAATGCCAGATTAAAATGAGTAGAGAAATTGCATAAATCCTAGAGATTGATAATAGGTGATACCAAAGTTTCGGAAATGGCACAAGCATGAGAATAAGTAATGTGTAGCCTGTATCCCCGGAGGTCCACAATTTGGTCAAAATAAGAAAAGGCTGTTTTTGTACCCATGAACCATCCTCATTTTATTCTGTCCTCCTTATTACTCTTCCTGGCCTCTGGTAACTTTTATTCCACATTCTGTCTCCATGAGATCAACTGTTGTGATAATTAACTCCAGCATGTGAGTGAGAACTTGTGAGATTTGTCTTTCTATACTTGGCTTATTTAACTTAACAATTTCCACTTCCATCCATGTTGTTGCAAGTGGCAGGATATCGTTCTTTTATGGCTGTATAATATTCCATTCTGTGTATGTACGACTGTTTCTTCATCCATTCCCCCATCCACTGAGGTTAGTTCCAGATCTTAGCTGGCGTGCAGGTGCTGCATTGAGCCTGGATTGCAGACATGCTCTCTCCATCCTCCTCTCCTTCCCTTTGGATACACTGAGCAGCAGGACTGCCGAATCCCACCATAGCTCTTTTAGCTTTTTGAAGAACTTTCATGGTTGTTGCACTGATTTATATTCCTGCCAGTAATGTACAGGGGTTCCCCTTTCTCTGCATCCTCACAGCATTCATTATGGCCTGTCTTTTTGACTGGGGTGAGATATGTCTCATTGCAGTTTTGATCTGCATGTCTCCAGTGACTAATGATGTTGAGCATTTTTTAATATATTTGTTGGCCATTTTTGAATCTTCTTTTGAGAAATGTCTTTTCACATCTTTTGCCCATTTTTTAGTCAGCATATTTGATTTTTTTTCCTATCACATTGTTAAAGCTCCTTATATATTCTTGTTAATGATCCTTTGTCAGATGGTAGTTTGCAAATACCTTCTCCCTTTCTGTAGGTCGTCTCTTTACTTTGCTGATTATTTCCTTAGTCTTAGCTTGATGTGATCCCGTTTGTTTAATTTTGCTTTGGTTGCCTGAGCTCTGGGAATGCTGCTCAATTAATTATTGCCCAGACCAGTATCCTGAAGTTTGGCCCCAATGTTGAAAAAAGAGTTTTTGCTGTTTGAAGGAAGTGCTGTTTGAGGGGTAACAGCGTTTTGTTTGAAGCAAGGGTACACACGGCAGGCCCAGAGCCCTCCATCCTGTAATTTTGACAGCCTTTTTCTCCCTCTGGTGTTGAGGAGACATCTTTGCTAAGCCCTTTGTCAGTCTAGGAAGATGCAGTTTGAAAACCACATTATTAACAGGTACATTTTAGGGAGTTGCAGGTGAAAGTCCTGTTCATCATCATCACCAGGCTCTATCAGGGTCTCCCCTCAGTTGTGCGTGAGTAGGAATGTTTCAGTTCTGTTTCTTCATTTGGCACGATTGAGTTAGGAGGAATGGCAGTGAACATTTGTTTCCTAAACCATTTTAGGGGGGATAATTTGCTCTAGTAAGTAATTAATATGTATATTATTTCTGAGACTGAAATTCAACCATATGCTACTAGTATAGATGGCTCAAGTTAGATCATTTGTATTGCTATAATGTGCATTGATACATTTTGACGTATGTTACCACTGTTAATTGACACATTAGTGGGTGCAGTTGCACTAAAATAGAAAATGGCTTATCCATCATGTGGTGCAGTTCCTATTTCTCTTTAACATATTTTACTTTATTCACATTTTATCCATTTATTTTAGCAACACTATTCAGTAAGTATATATGAAAGACCTACCACACTAAATGCTATACGTGATGCTATAGGTTGTATTAAATCGTAAGCACCTTCCTTGCAGCTAATAAATGTTCGGGAATTTTTGAAGATAGTAGCAGACCTAAGTTTGAATTTCACTCCAACATCGAGCAGTGTGACTCCTGGATTATATGTTGCTTAGCTTCCAGCCTTCTCATTTCTGCCTCTGACGGTGAGGCTGATAAGATGTCAGAATCAGAGGAAGTGCTGGTCAGGAAGCACGTGGCACAGCCTGGCGTGCACTTCAGGGCATGTGCTGGCACCGTGAAGTGAGGCTTTTCCCACCTTCTCTGTCTGGTGTTGGTTAGGAAAAATGATCCAGCAAGCAATTTTTAAAAACCCTCTTGATTAATGAATGGTTTTTTTTGACGACATTTGATCTTATGCAAATATTTTATGAAATTAATTTGTAGGTTTTCTTTAAGTCTGATACATTCCTGATGGATAACTAGTAGCAACTTAACGGTCACTCGCCCTGGTCTCTATTTTCTCTCTGTGATTTGCATTTGTGTTTTCTTAGGCTAAAATTTCCCAACGTTTATTTGTTTAACGTCAGGAGTGTTGGTGGTGGCTGCAGAACGGATTGTTCAGAGCCGTCCAGTGTGAAGCCGACTGAGCGCACAGTAGGGCAGGTGCCCAAGCAGAAGCTCCGCTTGCCTCAGTGCTATTTGATCAGATGCTCTTTCCTTCCATCTGAGCCTCTATCTTTCAGTGTATGCGATGCGTTTCTCAGAAGGTGCTAGAAGGAGCTTCAAATTCCTCAGTTCTCTCCTATTCCACTCACACTTCTGTCTCTGACCTCAGAGTCCATCACTTTGAACAGCAGCATTATGTGAGAGTTATTTACCTTCAGGGCCTCTCAGTTCTTTGTATGGTTAATTGTGTGTAGTAATTTTTTGTGCTAGTACTTTTTTTTCTAGGAAACAAAAATAATTTAGCTTCCCTAGTACAAACTTTGGGGCCATAAATGAAAATGCTTTTCTGTGTACGTACAGATAACATGATATTTGGCACAAATTGCTGCAGATTTTTAAGGGGGACATTCTAAAGCAATTTCGTAGGTCAGACCTGACTCCCCAGCGGCATCCCTTGGGGTTACCCCGTCTACACTACAGACAGATGTTCAGTGTTGGTCAGCAGGTGTGAGGTGGCTGCAGCATCCTCCACGCTCCTCCCTGCTGCCTGTTCTTTCTTTTTCCCAGATGAGTTCAGAGCTCCTCCTCAACCCACTGGAGCAGCCGCTACCCCTGGGTGTGGAAGATGTGTTCACTGGTGTAGTCAGTCTTTAAGGCACATGTTCATATTCTCCTGTTACCAGAATATAAGAATATGCTACTAAGGGAGACCTGTATAAACAGCTGTCTGATCACTGTGTAATTTTCTTCATTATCCTTCATTTTAAATTGCCCCGTTGTGGATTTGGAAAACCTTGCATATTTACATTTGACATTTTTTATTTGTTGAAATTGTAGTTTTTCTCAGGTAATAGGATGTTCATATGACACCATTTTTATTAAACAGTGATGTATTTTGTCCATCACAGCAGTACAGAGAGATTCAGTTTGCTTAAAACCATACATTGAAAGGAACAGTTATATAATTTCAAACTATTACTCAAGGCGAAAAGTGGACAGATAGCATACTTGTGTAAAATTTATGCACCTCCTTGAATTTGTAGTATTTTAATGTTTCAGCCTAATACCAAAGTTTGACATACACGACATTTAATAAACATATCATTATTACTTCAGAATAGCCTAAAATACTTTTTTATACCAAAATCTTATATGCCTTTAATTTGTAGAATTTCCATAATGTAGAATTTCTACAGGCTTATTCACACACAGCGCACTGGGAACACCCCTGCACACAGAAACCTGGAGCTTTCTTTTTTTCATTTCTTTAAGTAAAATAAAGCTAAAATGTTTTAGATATGAAATATCTGAAATCTGATATTTATAGTTTAAAAAGTCAGTAATAAAATTTAAAAATAATATTTAAAAATAAATATTTGTAATGGTCTAGATCCACATCTTGTTTAAATTCATATCTTCATTCTTGCATTGCATCTGAACAACAAAAGCTTTTGTGGTGACAGAGAATGGATGTGAAAAAGAAGACTTGCTTAGAGATGGTGGGCTGTTTGAGAGTGTAGAATTACATGAAGTTAAGTTTGACAGGAAAAATATTGCTATGAAGTTAGGATGTGGAAATTGAAAAGGATATAGAAATAAAAGACAAGAAAGGTTCAGAAAATGTGGTGCATGGATGGGACAGATAGTCAGCTGAAGTGAGAATTACTGATTTCTCTCTTTATAGAAAGGGGGAGGACAGTGCTGATACATCTATAGTCAAGGGAGGATTGCAGAAAGGCTCAGGTGGGGTCAGGGATTCTGATATTGTCTCCTCCAGTGACTTAAATGTAGTTTACTTTAGCAAATAGTGACCAGCAGCAAAGGTTTGGAAGAGGAAGATACTCGTTTGCTAGATGAAAAGTGAAGGTGTCTGAGAGAGAAGCATTCTGAGAAGGGATATTTCCACTGAGAAAATCGTTTTAATGTTCCATGTTAAACATTTAAAACAATTAAGTATCTGACATGGAGTGTTGTTAAATACAGAAATGTGTTATATGTAATGTAAAATTTCATAGACGTAGTCATTGACTAATTATTCAAATAACAAAGGTGGAGACTGTGATAGCTTGACTTCAGCTACATTAACCAGAGAAATGGAAAACCAAAAAAAAAAAAAGGAAAACATAGGCATAGATCAGGTTCCCCTTCTACAGATGTGAGTAGGGAATGCTGGGGGACTGGTGTGTCTGGTAAGCAGTTCCCGAGAGTCAAGGCCATAGAGGGCTCAGCTCAGTAAAACTCACTCCGGCAGCCAGAGCTGGGCCCTGCGTGAGGTACACATAGGGTGAGTCAGAGCAAATTGAGATTAAAATTCTTAAAATGTATGTAATGTAGCTGGTGTTAAAGATTCTTTTTGTCCTTTTCCACCAGGGATATAGCTAGTGCAATAAAGGAACTTCTTGATACAGTGAATAATGTCTTTAAGAAGTACCAGTACCAGAACCGCAGGGTAAGTTCAGTGGACATCACTGGTTGCCACCCTCAGTGTTGGTTTGATTATGAGACACAGTTTTGTGTCATTAACCACTGGGTTTATCTTTGAATTTAAATATGCTGCTTTCTGTGTTTAAATACTCAAAAATCCTTATTTGTGATGTAAAGTGCACGCTTACTATGTATAATCTCCGGTCTCTGACTTTGGCTCTGAGTATTTTTTTCTCATTATTTTTTTATTTATGTAGGCGCTTGAACACCAAAAGAAAGAATTTGTAAAGTACTCCAAAAGTTTCAGCGATACTCTGAAAACATATTTTAAAGATGGCAAGTAAGTACTGTCATTTATCCTTTTCCTTAAAAATCAACTAGATCGTTGATTTTACACGATGCTGAAATCACAGATACAGCCCTTTCACCAATTCCTGTTGGCACGCAGGTGACTGAGAGCAAAGGCAGTCCATTAAAAATAGAAAATAAATGATTGCTGAGTCCACCAAACCTTTATTCTAGAGCAGGAGTTGTCCCCCTTTGTCTGAAAGGGGCCGGATGGAAATAGTTTAGATTGGATGGTCCTGTCCCCGGCACTCACCTGCCTCTGCTGTTGTAGTGCAAAGCAGCCAGAGCCATGGTGGACAGGAGGAGGTGTGATTGTGTTCTAACAAATCTTCATGTAACCTGAAATTTGAATTTGGTATAAAACTTTCAGCTGTCACATAATATCCTTTTGATTATATTATTATTTACCATTTAAAAACAAAAGCATTTTTAGTTTACTGGCCTCTTTTACCCACGTCTGAAGTTGGTTCTCAAACTTTAATAGCTTCAAAATACACCTGGAGGGCTTGTTAAGGCATAAATTGCAAATTGCTATAAGGGCCCCACCTCCAGAATTTCTGATTTTGTCGATCTGGGGTGGGGCCAAGAATTTGTATTTTTCAGCAGTTTTCGGACAGTCTTGGTGCTGCAGGTCAGTCGGCATTAGGTCAGTCTGTCTGCACCTTATACTCACTTGGGGTGGGTTTCAAAAGATCTCGTTGCCTCGGCCCCTTCTGCTCAGATTCTGATGCAGTTGGCCTGGACTAGAGCTAGTGGTTTAGATGTTTTGTGAAAGTGCTCCAGGTAATTTTAAAGTGCTGTGAATTTTGATCCACTATCCTGAAAGGACAGAGAATTAAATTGGCTTTCACAGCATCATTCTGTAAAATAGGAAATATACTAAAAATGCAGCCTGGATATCATTTTAAATGTATATCCATCTGGTTGCTGAACACTGCAGAAAAGGTATTTTAATGTATTTTTGTATATACATACTCACATATAATGTATAAACTGAGGCAGAGGACTTTTTCTTATAGTATTGTATAATACAATAGCGTTCATAGTCAGAAAAATAATCTAAATAGAAGAGTCAGACATCCTGTTCCACAAGTTAACTTTTGAAGTCCCTATATTTAGTTCTGTCATTACAATATTATTGTAATAATTACAGATAATAAAAACACATTAGATGGAATTCTGTTCATTTTCAGCATCTTTTCCAACGGTTCAAACAGGTTGAAATAGTACATGTGTTAGTAAAGATAGTGAACTAGGTTTTATTAGTGGTTTTATGTTCTGTACTTCTTTCAGGTTATCTGGGGGAAGCCTCTTGATGACTTCATTTAATAAGCTAGCAGCTGTGTTTTGAAATAACCTTTCATCTTTTTTTCCTTGATCTCCTGTGCTAAGCCCAAATAACCAACACACATTAGAAGAATAATTTACATGATAGAATCATTACTTCTGGTACTAATTAGTTACTATTATGAAATAAGCACATTGGAAGATAGAAATTAATTAAGAGCCTAATTTTCATTAATTTGAAATTAACTTACTTTCCATATGGATTCTTTAGGCTCCTTGCTACGACTTTCTCTCCATTCAGCAGCTCTTTAAAATTCCTGTTCTTTGTGGATGAATTATGTGCCGTGTGTCTTGAACTTATTTCCTGAAAACAGAAAATTATTAATAGAGCCCAGTCTTTAAGCCATCTTTCAGTAGGAAGATGAATTTGCATTGATTCAACCAATTCTTCCTAGTCCTCCTCTTTTGAGAATTTTCTGGGAAGATACAGGCTCTGCCTCTGATACTAAGAAACTGAAAAGGCCACGGGGTAGGCCTGGGGCACCAGCCTTGTGTTCCAGCCATGTGAAGAGGAGCCTTCAGAAGGTGGTGGGGCATGAAGCCGTTTTAAGAGCACATTTTCACATATTGTCAGCTCCAAGTATTAAAACTACATGATTTTTGTTTGTTTGTTTTAAAAGTAGATTATTCTAAAAGTAGTTTGTAGTTATAATTCCTACCCCTGTTTTAGTGGGGGGAATTTGTTTGTTTTGAAAGAAGGTAAGAGGGGTTGGGATGAATCAGTCTGGAGGTGACTAACCTCTTCCTAAGTATTTGTCATGTCTGTTGATGTACACATTGTAAGACTGAGGAGAATACTTTACCAGGTCTCATGTATTGACAGCTGTCAAACCACAGCCAAGACCACTCTTCAATCTTCCTTTGGCAGTTACTTGATCTAGAGTGAACTCTGGCAGCTGAGAGCCACCTGTCTGAACAGCCCTCCAGCACTTTGTTGCCAGCCAGAACCACCAGGGGGCGGTAATTCCCAAATAGTGGCTGATGATTCAGGACCCTTAAATCCCAAATTGGAGCAAAAGTCATGACAAACCCAGCTTGTCTTCTTTTGCCCCAAAATGAATTTCTTTGCCACCATTAATAGATAGCATTAAGTCTAAATCTTTTAAAAGGGTACATTATTTGGATAAAAGTAATACTTGTTTTTTTCTTTTTAAACAGGGCAATAAATGTGTTCATGAGTGCCAACCGACTAATTCATCAAACCAACTTAATACTTCAGACCTTCAAAACTGTGGCCTGAAAGTTGTATATGTTGAGAGATGTCCTTCTCAGTGGCAGTGCTGAGCTGCCTTTATCTGTAAATTTTAAAGTTTGACTGTATAAATTATCAGTCCCTCCTGAAGGGATCTAATCCAGGATGTTGAATGGGATTATTTCCATCTTACACCATATTTTTGTAAAATGTAGCTTACTCATAATCTCACACAGAAGATTTTGCATCACTTTTGCTATTATCATTCTTTTAAGAATTATAAGCCAAAAGAATTTACGCCTTAATGTGTCATTATATAACATTCCTTAAAAGAACTGTAAATATTGGTGTTTGTTTCTGACATTTTAACTTGAAAGCGATATGCTGCAAGATAATGTATTTAACAATATTTGGTGGCAAATATTCAATAAATAGTTTACATCTGTTAAACATTTCTTTACTTGAAAAAATGCAGATATATATGTGTGTGTATCTCTATGATCGGAAGACCAAGACAACTTGGTGTAATGTCTAAAAACTTCTGACGGGAGCTTACTAGCAATTTATCATAATAAAGCAACAAGAATTCCTATTTTTTGTCCTTAATCGCTATAGGCAAAAAGGAGTCAATAGAAATATTTTCATTAGTTATTACATAAGGAAGTACTAAATATTTTTCCACTATTTGCTGCCTATTTTCAGAGACTTAGGAGAAAGAGATGGCAATTTATAGGATCTTCAGACTATAGTGCCAGTTTTTAAACTGTGACAATGTACATTTGACTCTGAAAAATTCCATCTTTCTGGTATTCTGGACCCTAATAAGCTTTGTACCCCCCCCCCCCCAAATAGCCCTAGGTAATAATAATTTGAAGCTATTCCGGTAGTTGGTTTGAAGTTACCCTAAATGTTAATGTTCTACACACTTTTTAAATATGTGCAGTTTTGTTTCGTCAGAGAGGTTTTAAGGAGACTGTATAGAGCAAGTGTTCATGTTAAGTGATTTCATTTTCCAGTTATGATAAAGGGAAAATCAAGATTTATTTATCTTTCATAAAAATTTTAAATGTTGCAATGAATTTCTGTGGGCAGTATGATTTTCTTCTGTTGTAAATAAGTTATTTTAGTTATTTTTTTTCATTTTAAAAAATGAATTTTTAAAGAACGATTATCATTGGCAACATGGAAGTAATTCCTCCCATTAAGTGTAAGCAGGAACTATGTGGAAAGAAACAAAAAAACCCAAGAGATAATTGTATGAAATTTCATAATTTATAGACATTTTGTTGACTTGATTTTTTTCCTTTAAAGACAGCCAGTAAAACAAGTAGAATTGGTGATTTTTGCTGGGTTTTTTTGGCATTAACTATTACCCTTGGAAGTAGATGGATGGTCATTTACAGAATAGACTTGTGAAGATATGAAGAAAAAAGATGCTGATTTGTGTGCGGCAGATTCTTCTGACATAAACCAAATACTGTCATCATCCCTGCTCTTGTTTCACTCTCCGTAAAGAACGCACCATTAAAAAGAAAAACAAAATCCTCCCTGTTACCGGGCAGGCCTCAGATCCCCCATTTTTGTTCCCCATTACCGGGCAGGCCTCAGATCCCCCATTTTTGTTCCTCATTACCAAGCAGGCCTCA